AAACAGGGCCCCTGCCCCCCGGCCCCCCCTAACGAGCCAGCCCTGCCACATGGCTCTGGCTACTAAGCCCCCTGCCCCACAGCATCCCCTCCCAAGCTGGCCCCACAGCACAGCTCCCCTTAATAAGGACCCTGCCCCATGGCTCCCCCTCCTGAGGCCTCTGCCCCACAGCACCCCCTAACAAGCCAGGCCAACCACACGGCTCCTCCTAACGAGGTCCCTACCCCACAGCGCCTCCTAATGAGCTGCCCCACGGCACAGCTCTGCCTATAAAGCCGCACCCCAATCCCTGCAACACATCTCCTCTCACGTTAACCATCCGCCCCCACTGCCCTCCCAGAGCCGGGGCGAGAACCCCGGAGTCCTGGCTCGCAGCACCTCCTGCTCTAACCACTAGCCCCCACTGCCCTCCCAGAGCCGGGGCAAGAACCCAGGAGTCCTGGCTCCCCCAGCTCGGCCTGTCTCTACCTCTCCGGCACCATGGTTGCAGAGGGGGACAAAAACGTCGCCTGAGAACGGGCCTCGGCATCAGCGGGGGAGTCGGATCCTGGTGGACAAGACAGACACGGGGTGTCAACACGGAATCCAGGGGCCTGTGTGTGTCTCCCTGCAGCACACCCTGCTCCCTGGTTTGTTATTGTAGGGTCTACCGAAATGGGGTGGGGGAGGAACTGCAGATGAAGTAAACCAAACCAGAAGTCCTGACTCCCAGCCCCCTCCCTCGCGAACCCTTAACCCACAGAAACAGAACCAGGAGGTCTCCTCACAAACAATGGCTTGTTATTGTAGGTCCTGCAGTAATCCCATAGGGCCCCCTTCACAGGACTGTGTATAGCTGGGTGGGAGGGGGAAGAGCGCCTTAACAGAACCTTCCACCAACCAACACATGCCCCCACCTGGCTACTTTGTTATTGTAGGGTCTATCATAAAATCCAAGGCCATGCTAGTGCCGCCATCGTGTATAATGTCGGGGAAAGAGGGAGCATAGAGGAAGTCACTCCTAGTGCCTTCCCACACGCCAGCCCTGGATTGTTATTGTAGGGCCTACCATAATATCACAAGACGGCTGCCCAGTGCCAAGGCTGTCTCTAAGCTGCATGGAAGTGGGAGTTCAGATGTAGACTCGTTCCCAGGGTCCCTGGGTGCAGACTGTGGTTAGGTTGTTATTGTAGGACCTACCATATGATTATAGGGAAGCCTTAGTGTGAGGGCTGCGTCAGCCACGTGGAAGAGGGAGGAGCCCAGACACAAAATTATGCCCAACTCCTCAAATTCATGCCACGGCTCGTTTATTATTGTAGGGTCTATCATAATACCATAGCACATCTGGCCGCTGTGTAAACATGAGGGCAGGAGCCCAAACACAGACTCACCCCCATCCCACACCTGTTTTTTTGTTGTAGGGCCTACCATAATCTCATGGGGCTGCCCTCATCACGCAAGGACAGGCTGCAATTTCTGCGGAAGCGCCGAGCAACCCCACACAGACCACGGCTAGTTTGTTATTGTAGGGTCTACAATAACTTTACAGGCCCAACCCCCACTCACCATTGCTCCCTGGCAGGTGCAGAAGCTTTCCTATTCTTTGTGGGTCCGGCTAGTTTTATTGTAGGGTCTACAATAACTTTACAGGCCCAACCCCCACTCACCATTGCTCCCTGGCAGGTGCAGAAGCTTTCCTATTCTTTGTGGGTCTTCCTCATCCTCAGAGTCTCTGGCCAGTAGGGCTCCGTAGCCCATCCTTTTGCTGG